AAGTGCATGTAAATTGGTAAACACAATTTGACGTGGCGTGAAATGGCAAGGCATCCTTCGTCCGTGAAACTTGGGTAGCCTTTGTAGGGCTGCAGAATATGAGTTCAGCTGAGTTGTAAGTTCTTTCAATAGCGCATCTCAATCGCCGCTTGATGGTATTAGAGATGTTGTCGCCCTTAAAGGAAAAGGATATTATAACGGGCTTTTTCGATACTGATTGCCCTTGCTTGATGTCCTCATCTGCCGCAATGTTTGTGGTGGCCTAAAAACCTAAGTATTCAGGAAAGCCACAAACATGACGCAAGTTCTGAACTTCAACAGCAACCACCCGATCAGTCACAAATTCAGTTGCGTAAGGGCACTATACCAGATTGTGGAGACAAACTGCAGTGGACCAGAAGAAAAGGTTGCTGAATTACAATACCCTCGACGGGTATTCAAAGCCAATGGCTACCCGCATAACTTCATCAACCAGTACCTGCGTCTACGAGACGAGAGACGAAATCCAACCGGCCCCAAGTTTTGGCGAGCCCTCCCGTACGTGAAGAAGGTCTCAGAAGCTGTCAGCCGCCTTCTCGCACCCTTTGTATTGGAGAAGCACACAGACGGGAGGCAGCCATAAGGCACCAATCATGAGACCGAAAAACCCATTGTCACGGCAGGAAACGTCAGGAGTCAGTTACCGGGTCTGGTGCAGTTGTGGGCAAAGCAACTGTGCCGGAGAAACTGGAAGACTACTCCGGACGCGTTTGGCTGAGCGCGCGGCAGCTGTGAGGAGGAACGATGCCAACTCCCAAGTCGCGGACCCAGTCACACATTTAAGTTTGACGAAGCAAAAATCCTTGCTAGAGGCGACAACCGCGTGAGCCGCGAACTGCTCGAGTCATGACTTTCCTGTCCTCATTCAGTCAACAAGCACAACGACCTCCCCGCTCCACATTCGGCGCTGAGACTTAGTCTATGCAAAGTAGTTAGCCGTGAGGAGAACGTGCAGATAATTACTATCGGCGGTATCAATGTCGGCGAGCCAAATTATCCAAGAGTCCACACGAATTACGAAATCCGGTAGTCAGCCCCTCGGCGGCGCGCGATGAGCGTGGGAGCCGATAATCTCGACCGGCATACAGGCGCAGAGCAACGGCATGGCAACGGTGTACTTCAACACCTGGCCAGTCGAGATGTGATGCACTCGGGAGCTGCCAACTGTGACAGGCATGTAGCGGCCTAGCAACTAAGTCCTATAAATATTGCAACACCTGGCCAATCCACCACCCTTATCTGACAGTGTCTCTGATGGTGGATTCGAGTGGGAACCCAAAACGTCGGGCTAATAATGCATTTATTCCAGTGATTGTGTCTCCATCTCCGCGACTATTTCCTGGAACTAGCCTCTTCGCTTTTATTTGCAATGCGGCCTTCTTTAGATGTTGCTGTTTTTTACGGCAACGGCTGCGACAGATGCGTGACGCCTGAGTGGCTCGCGAGGTCTAGGAAATCCAAGGATATTCGGACAGCAATTACACGAAGAACTTCCTCGCATCGATAGAAGCGGTCTACGGCACTGTGGTCAGAGAAACCGCGCCGCCTCTGAGCTACAGCGGACAGCGAGATAGTCTCATGAGTATTCGCATTGACCAACAGCGTGAAGCAGGGATGCGTACCCACTTCCATCCTCTTCAGCCTCATGTTCTCTACCATGCTAATTGACGCCTGCCTCGGGATTCTTGTCGTCCGCAGGACTATCAATCATTTGCCGGAGCATGCAGCCCCCCGCGTCCGTCCCTGGCTCTGCGGTGAGCATCGCCATATATAACGGAGAATAGACCTTTTCAGCGCCGGCTGCACCAACCCTGGGCTGATCATTTCATATACACATAACGTTGGTCACCTAACACTGCATACAACGTCCCTCGCATCGCCGTCAGTAGAGTCCAAATAGAAACCGCGGACAGTTTCGCCTATTTAGACAGCACGCTTTCATACAGCCTCAAAATCGAAGACGTAGCTCACTGAGTCTCGAAAACCCACCAGGCCTTTGGCCAGTGGCAGACCAAGATCTGGAACCGCCACGAACTTCGACTCACCGCGAAACTCAAAATGCACAGGGCGGTAGTCCTGACAACGCTACGATACGTGGCGAATACATGGACCCTCTACACCATCGCTTCAACATGAGCTGTTTCTAAGGGATATTAAAGTTGAGGTCGTCGGACAGGATCACCGACAGGGAAATTTTGGAAGAGACCAAAATCCTCAGCGTCCACGCCATGTTGGGGCAACTGCAACTGCGACGGACAGGCTACCTCGTTAAAATGGACGATGAGGCGGTTTTCCGGACGATTCTTCTGCCGACGTGCCTTTAGGAGTGCTCACCAACAAGAAGGACACAAAAGCCGCTACAAGGACATCCTGAAGAACTCCGCGAGGCATTTGCAAATAAGCAGCGATCTTTGTGGCTAACCGGATCACCGCTACCAAGGCCAAAAGAGCGACTCACAGGTTATAAGCACCTGCGACCCACGGCGTCAACACTCAACCCCTCCAAACATGTCCGCGCTACGAACGAACATTCTGCGCGCGCAAAAACCTCGTCGGAAATCTTCGGATCCAGTGCAACAACGGCCCGGCAACCCCACCGGATGCCTCCACATACGACCCCATTATCACCCGTATCCCACTGCGGCGGTCACGAAGATGACCGTCCTCACCACAGGTGACCACGCTCCTGATGCCCCGCCGCTGCCGATCTTCGTCACCCCCATCATCCCTGTCGCAGTTACCGCGACTATGACAACGATTATCAGTTCTCCCACCCCCGCCACGGGTGAAAACATTCCCCCACCACCACCACCGCCCCAACCACTAGCAATGTGGACTCGGTTCCAGCCTGTCCCCACTGCGGTCACACATTCCTACCACCCACTGGCCTGCTCTATCAGTTGCTAACCCATCGCACTGTTGCCTGCAAATCAATTTCAGGAGCCTCCACATACGCTCGCCGCATAGGCTTTCACTGCCTGCACTGCCCAAGTACATTCACTTGTAGGGATGCAGCCACAGCTTTCCGATTTTGGCTCAGTCATGCTAGATCCCTAGTGCGTTGCCGGTTATCCACCGGCGCCACGGCGTTGCGCTAGCCACCTTTCAACTTTAATCCTACTGGCCATTGCGAGACTGCCATTTGACGGTCTCTATTATCCTAGTGGCTAATCCTCTGCTTTATCCTACTTTTCATTGTCATGCTTCCTCTTACCTATTGACCTATTCACTAAACCTATCCGACTCGACTGGAAGCACCATAGGTGCCGAGGATAATTGATGTCGAGGCAGCTTGGACCGGGCAACGTCTCCCGCCCCGACACCTCCACAGGTCATTGTCGTTTTCGCTTGCCGGATCAATCATGAAGCGTCGCCAGGCCAATCAGTCCCCGCCGTGGGACCTGCCCGTGCTCCCTATCCTGTCTGAACTCCAAACGTCTTCCCGTCGTCCCTTACCTTCCCTTAGACCACTGCCTAATAATAATAATAATAATAATAATGATAATAATAAGGCTTCGACACCTAGAACAGTTAGACCGCTTACACACTAAACACATGAGTTTTTAGTGGCCCTATTCCGAGCCTCTGTCGCAATGTTGAGCCTCTCGTTAGTGTTTGCGAGTGCTCACCAGGGCTGTCCGGTGTTTGCTTACTCTACGCTACAAATGACCAATCAGATCCAAGGCCGAGTCAGAGGTGCCCTAACTTAAGACGCTTTGACGCATTACCCGACTCATACTTGGTACGCAGTTCTCTCGGCGTCGGACGTGTACTCGTCCGACTGCCAACTCCTTCTACTCCCTCCTCTAGTTGTTCTGTACAGAATATACAATCCTCCCATTTGGCGTCCCACTTCTCTTCCTATTCGGAACTGGGTCTGAAGATTGTGGTGACCAGAGTCTCGCTCGCGGCTTGGGCTTTTGCGATAGGCCTATTGTGTCACTGCCTATCCAAATAGCGGAATTCGTTGCAATATCGACACACCGAGCGCACCTTGCACATACAACAACTCTCCCATCTCCTGCACTGCAAACTTCAGTTCACCAGCGCGGCCACTAGCATCAGTAGCCTAACTGTAACTGACTCAGCAGCTCCTTACCTATCCTGTTCACATTTCTACCGCACATGCACATCACACATCGGCTTGGGCAGCCAATTGCGAGTCCGTCGCGCAGACCCTAGCAGACCAGTGCCTGGAGCACCAATATACACCCTTCGCTATCGCCTCACCTGGCCTCAATGCCTGCGCACATCTAGTCATCGCATGAGCCTACTCGGTCACATGTGTGTGGGGCTGTAGGGGTGTCCAGTTGTGGATCCCCTTGAAGGCCATAAGAGGTCGCTCACTTGCTTTCAGGTGTTGACTACGGCTAGCACTCATTAACTGTCACCCAACTCTCACGTGGCTACTCGAAGCCAGGCTTTTTCCAGCGAACACACTCATGTAACCGCCTCGACCGGCGAGCTAAACCAGGTGAGGGTATCCGTGTGTGTATCTTGTCACACGGTAGTTCTGCTCCCATCCCCCCTCCCCTTCTCCTCCCACCCTCTCCACACCGCTTCTCCTCCTTTTCCTATTCTAACCTCCTCGGCCGTTCTTCTCCCCCCTTTCACTTTTCCTCCTCCTTCCATCATCCCATCCCCCCTTCTTACCCTCTCCCTCCTCCTCCTCCTCCTCCTCCTCCTCCTCCACTTCCTCATCCTCCTTCACTGACTTCTCCCCCTTTTCCTCCACTCATTCCCATCCCTCCCAACTATCCACTTCACCCTCACGATAGACAAGCCTATGGTGGGAGCGACAGCGATCACGCAGGCGGCCGAAGTTGTTGGACACCGGCTACATCTTCTTCTGGAGCGGTCGTACCATGGCAAAATGACGTGACACGGACGTCACCTTCTCCACCCGGAACGACATCGCGGGACGACTGCCCTGGATGCCGCAGGTCATACACAGCTGACTGATGAGCCTGCGCCTATCCCTTCGGGGATCCAACTTCACCACCACCATTAACGTCTGCGCTCCACCAATGACCGGCTCAGACGAGGCGAAGGCAAAGTTCTACGAAGACCTACACGCCCTTCCGAAGTCCGTGCCAAAGGCAGATAAGTTGACAGTCCTTGATGACCTCAATGCCCGCGTTGGGATAGACTGTGCTGTCCGGAGTGGGGTGTTCGGTCCTCACGGAATCGCCAGTTACACCAACAATGACCTGTTCCTGCTACGAACATACGCAGAACACCGTCTCCTGCTGAACAACACTTTTCCTCATCTTCTGCTGAGAGAGAAGGCCACCTGGATGCACCCCCGATCGTGGCGCTGGCAGCTGCTGGACTATGTTTTCGTTCGATAGCGAGATCGGCAGGACGTGCTGATAACCGGGGCGATCTGCGATGCCGATAGTTGGACGGACCATAATCTCGTCATTCTCAAGATGACGCTCCGTCTGCAAGCCCACAGGAGGCCGTAAGTTAAGCGACCCCCAGGTAAGCTGAATACCGCTTTGTTGTCCTTGCCTGCTCACCGTATGCACTTCAGCAATCAACTGACCCAGCGGCTAGAAGACCTGCCAGCAGCAGATGAAAACGCTTCCGATGGTGCCGACTCGATGGTGCCAACTGCGGGTCACCGTTAACTCGACCGTCCTGGCTGTCCTTGGCAGCGCACGTCGCCAGTACCAGTTCCGGTCTGATAAAAATGACGCCATTAGTAACCTGCTTTCAGAGAAGAATATACTCTACGGAGTCTACCTCGACGGCCCAACTGGTGCGAACAAAGCGACCTTCTACTAGTGTCGTTGCCTAGTGCAGAAATGATTGAAATAAATGCAGGACTGCTAAATGGCTCGCAAGGCCAAGGACATCCAGGC